AACCCTAAAGATTTTCTGAATAAGAACCCTAGATGATCACTTATTCAATGAATATAATGACTAAAAAAATAAGATACAAAAAATCATTTATCAATTTTTAATTTTTTTTCAATCAAATCACGTTAACGTGTGACATTTTATTTTCAATTAATTGGTCACAAAAATTAGATTTATAAACAACTATATATTATTTGATTTCATTTCAATTAATCTCACTAATCCTGAAGTCCTTCATAGTTACAATCTTAAAAACAAAATACTTTTACGGACACATCAACTAGGTATCTTTTAGAACTTCATTAGGGTATTATTTATAAAAATTAAATCTACATAGTTTATATATATCTCATTACCAATTATACTAATTTTTGTAGTAACATCTACAACATAATATATTTAATATTTAAATCCGATTTAAGATATGAATAAGTATGTTTTTATTATACATTTGAAAATAAACCCTAACTACCAAATACATAAACCTTAACCGTCAAAATAAGATGGTATTACCTAATTTAAGATATAGAGTTATATTATTCTCGAGTTCTCAATAAATTTTTTTATTATTTTTGAGTTCCCAATAAAATTTTTTACATATAGAAATATAAATCTTAATTATGAGAAGATGTATATAATCATGCCGTTTATAAATTTCTTGATGTACCAAATTCCGATAATATAATATACGTTTTTAAAAAATAATAAGATAAATATTTTTAAAACAAAGTTTAAATATTTTATTTAAAACTTAATTTTTGGTCTCCACTTTTATATGATAATACATAGTAAAGTAGGGTGAGAATTTTATTAATAATAAAACAGTTATTCTATACATATATAGGATTGATTATTTAAAAAATGTAATTCTTATAATATAAACGAAACTAACTTTAATTTGGAGGGTTGAATAAATATTAATCTCGAGAAATTGCTTTTACCCTTATTTCCCCCCTTTAAAAGTCAAAAACAAATTTTTACAAATACTCTACTTTACCTTATTATATTTTAGCTCTCAAAATAAAACTCTATAATTCTCGATCATATTTTAGAGTACTCCTCATTTTAAAGAACACATATTATGCACACACAAATCAAAATTCACGTTAAGAATATTTGGTTGTTCCACTCTGTATGTTGTTGTAAGAGTGAGTATCGATATAGGATTGGACTAAACTAAATCAAACTAAAATCAAATAGAAAAAAATTTTCAAATTAAAGATTGAACTGTTCTAACTTTAGTTTACATTGAATTGAACTGAACTGAAAACTTTTTATTTTGACCTATTATAAGATCAAAGTAAACTAAACATAAAAAAAAAAATTATGTTTAGTTGTAAATCAAACATTTGACTGAATTAAACTTATCGGGTTAATATAATTTTTGAGTTCGAAGCAGATAACGCTCACCTCGCTATTTCTTAAGTTCTGAAAAAATTAACATATCAAAATAGAAACATAATAAAAAGGTAAAGAAAACAGCATTTATGTTTATATCATCATCAAAATCAGAAGATTAATTTCAGTGAAATTAATAATTACAAGTATAATAATATCAAACAATTGCAGAAGTTGACATTCTCATTTTCATATGCTTATCAGAATCCTATTATTTTCTTCTACATAATTTTTCTTCCTTTTAGAATCCATTTGTCATTGATTGGGACAGAGGAACACACACACACACACACACAGACCCACATGGATATGTGTATTGCTTGGGAATCTTAGACAACACAGTATCCCACCTTAATTTGTCACCATAATTTCCCCTTGATTCAGCTTTAGAATTGAACCAGAAAACTAACAGTGCTAATTGTCTGAACCCCTATAATTATATCATGGGGAACTGGTTCACTTTAAATGGGGCACTTTGCTTCTGTAACATACAGTTTCCATAGACAGATTGTAAAATATATATAGGCTCTTTTCAGCTAATGATATTACACCTTTTAACATCTCCAAAAGATGTTATTACTCTAATAACTTTTTCTATTACCACCCAGAAGTTTTATTATAAAAATTTAAACTTCAATTATTAATATCGATTGAGATGAATTTTCTGTACGAATTCTAATTCTGTTAATTGTATTCTTATTTTATATAAATAGTAAGATAATAATAATACAGATACTTTTTCGACAAAACTTACTTCACGAGAAGGATAGATATGGATTCGCAATGAAAACATATTGAAAATTAATATATAATTTTTCTCTCTCAAACTTAGCTCCAATGAACAAAAATCTTATATATATACATATATGGAGTGAAAGAAGAAAAGGGCTCAAATAATTTGTAGCTGCTTGTGCAGAGAAAGTTGCCATTTTAAGTCGATTATGAGAAACTTAAACTTGTCCTCTGAAACAAATCAAGTAATTTTCAGATATTTCCATATATGCAAATTAATTAAAAGTTTAGTTTAGAAGATGGTTAGATGATTAGATGTGACAAGAAGGTGAAATGAATATCAACAGCTTGAAAGCTAAACCATTAAAAATCCAAAAAGTTGGATTTGACTCACTTTGAGCTTCCCACTGCATCTGTGCTTTTAAAGTAGTAGGGGGAGCATCTGGTTCTTATCTTCATATAGAGTTATTATCCAATTCTTGTGGATTTGATGCTTAAAGGGATCATAAATTATTGCTCTGAAATAAAAGCCTATGAAAATGAACTATTCATTGAGATTCCTTGAATCTTAATTATGCCTAATTTTGAATTTTTATTTTCTCTTTTCATCTGGGTTTTTGCAGCTTTTTGGATTAAACTAATGATTTAATCTAATTCTAGTGGTGGTCCTTTAGTAAGATTTCAATTTCCTTTCTTAGATCATAATAACCACAGCCAAACATTCCTTGGACCATTTTATAGAACAAAAACCAAGAGGATAGGAATTAGTTTGATGGGTGCTAAAAGCATGGCATCTTTGTTAATTAAAGAAGGAAAACAAAAGAAGAAGAGAAAAGCCATGCATACCCATGAGCCAGCAATTTTTTTTTTTTTCTCATCACAATTACATGGCTATATATATATATATATATATATATATATATTTATAGTATACATGCTTGTTAAAAAGTGGCCTTCAACTAAAATGAACCGTTGAAAAGTTATTGTTTTCAAGAAGAAAGAGTAGTAAGAAGCAGTCTTCATTGAAGATCAGGTCATGATAAGTGATAAATTAGTTGTACTACTTGTCCTCCACCAAACAGTCCCTCAAAATTCTTTTCTTTTTTTCTAAATTGCACCACCTGAATATAGAAAATAAGAAGGGTGTTGATATATTGTGGAAGTATGAATTTACAAGTGTTCATTTGCAGAAATTAGAAAGTATACCAATGGAGATTACTTACCGAAATCCCTTGGCGTTTTACATTTGAAGCATTCCATCCTGCTAGCATAGTTGTGAACTCCACATCCCATTCTGTTGAACAAAAATTAAAAAGTTGCTTACATTAGAATCATGTAACTCTCCATTAAGGACTTGAAAACTAAACCTTAACGATTCTAGTCCTCCGTTACGTTTCTTGAAGAAAATAAACACCACCAGGCTAACTTTCTGTAGAATTTTTTTCATGGAATTGAAAATGGCAAAGTGGAGACATTGGTTGAAGGGCTAAAGTGCATTATGTAAATGGAGTTTCAAACAATGTAGTCTCGTCCCATTAAAGCTAATACATGTATATACAGATCTGCTATTTGCACCCTCCCAAACTGATCCCTTATCCAATTTTCTTCATTTGGTAGACACAATGTAAGCAGTGAGTGAAAAGAAACTAGGGATTTCCGGGCGGAAAACATTTCCTGGAAAAAGTTCTTGGGGGAAGAAGGGCCAATATTATAATCATATAAAGATTGTAGAATGAAAATGGAAATGTGAAATGTTGAGGACTCGTGACTGACCTAGTGCAAATCCAGTCACCAGTTTTCCATCCAGGAGGGAGATCAGAGCCTGTCACGTGACTTGCATAGGCACCATAGTCATTTTTCACAGTACCACAGCTATAGCAGCTTGTTCTGCTGGCATAATTGTGAGCTCCACAGTTCATGGCAGTGCAGTACCAATCTCCAGCCAAGACTTCTGTCCTGTTATACAAGTATGATGATACATCTGGGCCGCCATATTTTGGGTAGCTGCACTGTCTGCACATCTCCCTCTTCTTGAAGTTCATGTGTCCACACACCGCACACATCCAGTCACCTCCTGACATGTTCATTCTAGTCCTGATCAAAAAATAGAGCCAGAAAAGTTAATCAGAAGCAAACAGCAGACTTTTTGGCCTAATAAGAAGTTGATGACAACAAAAAGCTTCTTATGAGAAATAGAAGAATATGGAGGCTAACCTGAAGAAAATAGAAGAGTAAGGGGGGGAGGGAGAAAGAAAATGGTGGAAGTGTTAAGTTGCAGAAGAAATTCAATGGAGTTGGTGATTTTGGTTCATGGGATTGGAGGGTTTATATACTTGTGAAGGTTATACAAGTGGGTCCATGGATGCTTAGTCTGTCATTTATGTTTTGGCTTGTTCAGATTTGGATTCTAAAGCAGTAGAAAAATTTTATGAGATTTAGATGAACACTCTCCTCACTATTCTTGGGAAGGAAGGAAGGAAGGAAAGAAAGGAGTTCTAAAGGTGTCAACTAGCTAAATTAGCAAGCAGTGCATGCACATACACATACAAATTTTTGAAATCCCACTTTTACCCTCTCTTTTTATGATTCCCCTTCGCATTATTGCAAAGGAAAAAACACTATGGAAGAGGATTATTCTCTTCTCCATGTCCATTTCTAATAAGGTGGTATAAGGGGAAGATGTTACTTGAATGATGACGGTGATATTTTGCTTATGGAGATTTCTCCGCTTACAGGACCAACGAGGACATATACGAGACTGAACATATCGAACACTGATTCATCCGAATTCAAACACCCACATTAGACGAATGATGGAGCATCATGTTTATGTATAAGGCCAATGTAGATGCACAAGTATGATATTGATATAATTAAATTTGACACCTATATTAGCTTACGATAAAGTATCATGTTTATTTATAAAATTAATACAAACCCACATCTGTTTACACATATTGAGTATTAATACGGTTCAATTTAAATCTCTATTTTAGAGTAATGATAAAATATCATGTTCACGTACAAAGTCAACATAAAGGCTTACGTATTTGCTCATATTGGATGTTGACACAATCAAATTTGAAAGCTACGTTGCACTAATAACGAAGAATCAAGCTCACGTGCATGGCCAATATGGGAGAACACGGATTAACGTGGAAAAATAAATGTCGATACATAATAAAAATATTTTTCAGAAACTACTTAATCAATTTTCTATATAACATTAACCAACTATGGTAATAAATTTTAGTTCTTAAATATTTTTTAATAATTTAGTAAATTTTTTAAAAACTAAAATCTAAGATTATCCGTGTTTTAATAGTAAACTATAGTAATTGTTAACCTAATTAAAATCTTGTGCCACATCGGATTACACATAAGCAGTCGAAGACTTTTGGTATTATCAAATTCATAAATAGAGACCAATAGGTTTAATCCAAGTGGCAGATGAGCCTCCCCTGAGTAGAAACTCATGTTGTGCTACAACGCGGACAGTGAAAAAGTTTGATATAATTCATAATTTTATTTATTTTTTACATGGAATCAATTCCTCATAATGCACTACCTTTGTTTTGCCAAAATTCTCTTCTTCTCTTGTTTTGATTCCTTTTCTGCAATAATTCAAAAGCAAACCAGTTAAAGATTCATACAGCCATTGGCTACTCTTTCTTTTCTCCTCCTCCTCCTCCTCCTACCCACCTCCACTACTTCAGTGTATATACATGTCTGCAAATAAGATACATGTACATATATATATATATATAGATAGATAGATATATTTCAAGTCTGTGACATGACATGATCTGACCACTACTTGGAAGGCCTTTTTTTCCTTTCCTTTCAGATGTAACATTATCAGGATATGGTGGTTGAACTGCAGGCTCCTGGAGACCTGCCAGGTGTCAGGAACAAGTAAGGTTCCAAGAAAAACAGACAAGTATGGCGGCCTGGTAAAACCAACTTTTGATTTCTGATAAAAAAAAAAGAAAATAGAAAGAAAAAGAAGAAGAGAATGTTCTTTTTCAGCAATTTAATTGGAATAAGGATTGCGGCGGGACGACGCCGAGCAGATGGGGCAGGCACAGCAGGACCTGGTGATATATACATATACACACATAGATATAAATATAATTAGAAAAAAAGGTGGTGCAATGAAGTTAGGCACCTTTTGGGAACAGTAATTTTTCAACATGTTTTTTGGGATTTGATAGTTCTGTTCTCACTAATCTTTACATTAGAATAAATCATTAATTTATATATATATATATATATATATGTAAAGTATTTTGGTTTAATCTTCAACTCGATGAGTCAGACAGAACATGTTACAGGGAATTGGCCTCTGCATATGCATTGGCAGGCTTTTTTTTACTCGTAAAAGAAAATCAATGTTATCTTCTCTGTTCTGCCAGCATAAAACGACTACGTTTTATCTCATTCACATCTAAAAATATTACCGTTAACACAAACACTAATCACATTTATCATCTCGTCTCCATTAGATCTAAAAAAATCAATCTCATCGTAAGAAACTCAACTCTATATCAATGTAAAGTTGGTAGTCTTTGTTGCTTTATAAAAAGGAAGAATCTGCAATTGGTCCAAGTTCTAACCCCTTAAACTTTTAAGACATTACATACATATACACACATATATATATCATTAATACTAAGTGGTCTGATGACCTCTCCACCTTACAAGTAAGCAATGTGTGCTGAGATGGCGAACACATTCAGCGTCCACGTGGGCGCGCGGATGCTCGCGTGTTGACTTAGGGTTTGATAAGGAAGAATCCAGTCAACACCATATAAAAAAAAGCAGACATGGTGAATGTTCAACATGAAAAATAAAAACTAAAAACCTCAGAGAGTGCACAGCTTCTTTATTCTGTATTTGTGACTATTTTTAAAAGGAGGGCCTCAAGAATACTTGGAGAATCAACATCGTAGGGGATAAATTAAAGGTTGCTTTTTGGAGTTTTGAATATTCCCACATGAATTGTCACATCTCTGTCTCCACCGCTTAAGGAATGAATGTCTAACAACAATTCATCATTTCTTGATTTCAAAGTATTTTTGCTTAGCCTAATTTTTCTACTTAAACCCAAATTTAGTCCAACAAAGATTTTAAATATATGAGTGTGTTTGTATATATATATATATATATATTGGTAGCATGTGACAGATATTATTCATGCTTAAAGTTCATCTTTTTTTTTTTTTTTCTAAATTAATTAAATAGCTTAATTAGTGATTTTTTGATGGGACAAAGTATCAAATCCAATCGTGGTATTATTTTTCTTTCCAAGTCTAGTAAAACTTTGAACATAGTAAATTGGCCCCTCTGCACTCAATGGGACATCACTATGTACATATATATATATAATTACTACGCAATCAATATATATATAATTCTTAAAGAAATATAAAAGTTTTTAATTGAAACAAGGAGTAATTTATCTATAATTTTTGAGTAATGTACTTAGTGTTGAATGTTGTCAAGTAGCATATAATAATTAGGTATTATTAAATACTATATGGCTAGATAAGTAAATATTATATATTTGCCACTTAGTATTAATATTAATGATGACGAACATATTTTTAAAGTAAATGACATATGTCGTGCTATTAGAGATGAACTATAAGATACCCATATAAAAATATTAATAATTAGTAGAGTCAAAATTATTATGGAATGTAAACAATATAATAATTACTATACGTAGATACCAAAAGTAAGATATAAAATATATATTCAATCCTCCAAAATTAAGATATTATTATATTTTTAATTATTGGGTTCGTTCAATTTATAAATACAAAAATTTCAGACATCATATGTTATAATCCAGACGTAATAATTTTTTAATAAATAAAATTATTGGCCTAATAAAAATACTTCTTTAATTTTCACTAATAAAATTTTATTTAGTTAAACCTCGTGAATATCAAACTTCCAACGGTTAGTTTTAGCGGGTAATTTAAATAGTGGATTTACGAACCAACGGTATTTCAAATTCTATCTGTCACCCTTATCCTTTCCCTCCTCTGCAAAACGCAACACGAAAAATCTATGGTGCTCTCTTCTCCTTCGCCTGCCATTTCACCTTCCACTCTCCATGTCCTCCCCTGCTCAGACCCTCCATACAAGCTCCTTCAAAACCACCCGTGTCTCTCTCTCCTCTCCGTGTGCAGAACCATGGAAACCCTCAAACAAGTGCATTCTCACTTCATCAAGACCGGTCTCCACAACACCCATTACGCCATGAGCAAGCTCATCGATTTCTGCGCCGTTTCTCCTTTCGGTGATCTCTCTTACGCTCTTTTAGTGTTCGAGTCCATTGAGGAACCGAATCCAGTGATATGGAATACTATAATTAGGGGATACTCGTTGAGTTCGTCGCCGGTTATGGCCTTAGAACTCTACGTACGAATGATATTTTCTGGGATGGTGCCGAATTCTTACACTTTCCCTTTCCTTTTAAAGTCTTGCGCGAAAATGGCTGCTATCCATGAAGGGAAACAGATTCATACCCATGCTTTGAAACTTGGGCTTCAGTCTGATGCTTTCGTTCACACTTCTCTGATTAATATGTACGTGAAAAATGGCGAATTGGACAGTGCGAGATTGGTTTTTTATAAAAGTAATTATCGAGATGCGGTGTCCTATACAGCTTTGGTCAGTGGTTATGCTTCAAGGGGTTGTATGGACGAGGCCAGACAGATGTTTGATGAAATGCCTAGGAGAGATGTTGTGTCGTGGAATGCTATTATTGCAGGCTATGCTCAAAGTGGTAGATGTGAAGAGGCATTAGCAATCTTTCAAGAAATGCTTGCAGCAAACGTTACGCCCAACGAGAGTACAATGGTGACTGTCCTTTCCGCATGTGCTCATTCTGGTTCTGTTGCTTTAGGCAACTGGGTTCGGTCCTGGATCGAGGACAATGGATATGGTTCGAATCTTCAACTCCTTAATGCGCTTATTGATATGTATGCGAAGTGTAATGATTTAGATACAGCCCGTGGCTTGTTCGAGGGTATACCAAGAAAGGATGTTATTTCGTGGAATGTGATGATCGGTGGCTACAGTCATATGAATCAGTACAAAGAAGCCTTGATGCTGTTTCAGCGGATGTTGAGATCAAAAATGGAGCCTAATGATGTTACCCTTTTAAGCATCCTTCCCGCTTGCGCTTATTTAGGTACTCTTGATCTTGGCAAATGGATTCACGCTTATATAGATAAGAACCTCAGGAATTCATCCAATGCCTCTCTTTGGACAAGCCTTATCGACATGTATGCTAAATGTGGAGATATTGAAGCAGCTAAACAAGTCTTTGATTGCATGAAACATAAAAGTTTGGCTTCTTGGAATGCCATGATATCTGGGTTTGCCATGCATGGAAATGCAGATATGGCTCTTGGTCTTTTCTCAAGAATGAAAGAAGAAGGTTTAGAACCAGACGATATCACATTCGTTGGTTTATTGTCTGCTTGTAGCCATGCTTGTTTGGTAGACCTCGGCCGTCAATATTTCACTTCAATGATTAAGGATTACAAAATTTCTCCAAAACTCCAACACTACGGATGCATGATAGATCTTCTCGGCCGTGCTGAGCTGTTTGACGAAGCAGAAGTTATGATGAAAACAATGGAAATGGAGCCAGACAGTGTTGTATGGGGCTCTCTGCTTGGCGCATGCCGAGTCCACGGACATGTTGAGTTGGGCGAGTCCAGTGCCAAGAAACTCTTTGAATTAGAGCCGGAGAACCCAGGTGCTTACATCCTGCTCTCAAACATTTACGCTGGTGCTGGTCGATGGGATGATGTAGCAAGAATAAGGACCTTGCTAAACGACAAAGGCATGAAGAAAGTTCCCGGTTGCAGCTCAGTTGAGGTTAACAGTGTTGTTCATGAGTTTCTTGTCGGTGACAAAGTGCATCCGCAGAGCAAAGAAATTTACGAGATGTTGAGTGAGATAGACGAGCTTTTAGAGAAGGCTGGGTTCGTAGCGGACACATCGGAAGTGCTGTATGACATGGATGAGGAATGGAAGGAAGGGTCACTGAGTCAACACAGTGAGAAGTTGGCTATTGCTTTTGGTTTGATCAGCACGAAGCCAGGGACGACGATTAGAATTGTCAAGAATCTGCGTGTCTGTAGAAATTGCCATTCGGCTACAAAGCTGATTTCGAAGATTTTCAATCGAGAGATTATTGCCCGAGACAGGAATCGCTTCCACCATTTCAAAAATGGTGTCTGCTCCTGCAACGACTACTGGTGAAATGTTTATACTAACAAATGTCTCATTGTAAATTAGTCAAGTTTAGAATCCAATCACAGCCAGTAATATATATATATATATATATAGGTGTATTTAGTATCTGTTTCTGGTCTGAGAATGAAAACCCATCTTTATTTATATACAGGTGATGGAGTTTTACATATTAAATATTGATTGCTAATCTTGAAACTTGATGATCCTCATAATTGGGTACAAGAAAAGTCAAATGCTTTGGCAGCAGATACAAATTTTAGGCTTCAACATTGGAGAGATTCGTGAAGGAGTTGCTCGTAGCAGTATGGAGGAAATTCCTGACATCTACTACGAATGG